AATAAATTAATAACACTGTTAAATGTGATCTTAAGCAATCTCGAAATGAATACCCATTTTTCATACTGTTTATTTTATTGTTGTGAGGCCTGAATTCACTTTTAGCATTTAAAGCTTAGTCTTTTTATTGTTAATATATTTAGACAAAAAAGTATAGAATTTTCATTTGTATTATACATGATATTATTTTAAATTACATTATATTCTAATAATTATATTAGAAATAATCAACTTTTTTGTGAGGCCTGAATTCACTTTTAGCATTTAAAGCTTAGTCTTTTTATTGTTAATATACTGTATTTAGACAAAAAAGTATAGAATTTTAATTTGTATTATACATGATATTATTTTATATTACATTATATTCTAATAATTATATTAGAAATAATCAACTTTTTAAACAATATTAATATCGTTGCATCCCTTGTTCATATATGCATGCGTCAGATGGATGTCTTCAGCCATTGCATTGTGTCCTGCTGTTTTGTAGCGCTCTTTTTCAACATTTCCACACCTCTTCTTTACTTTGAATGCTTTTGCTGCCTTGAATTTGTGTGTTTTGAAGTTGAAAATGTGCTATCATGGTCGATCATTGCTTTCACATCCATGTTCTTCACTACTCTTGCCCATGCCTTATCTCTGTTAATATAGTAAATGGTGATGCTGTTTTTCATTAGCCCATAATTCAGTCCTCGGTGCTTTATTTGTTTGTCACTTACACAACCCAGATTTCTTCCTGAACATTTGGGACACTTAAACAGAGATGCAAAACTGCAGCAATGAGTCTCCTCTTTGATCTCTTTCATCCATAAGACCTTTAATTAAGGCCGATCCATTACTGGGAGCCGCTCTCTGGCCACTGCGGCCTAGAGAAGAGGAGCGTACTGCATTTCTAAGTGCATACTTGTCCTCTCAAATGCCATAATTAGTCTGGGGTATTATAATGGTGGGTCGTGGCTCACTTTGGTGTTTGAGTTGGTATTGGTGATGGGAAAATGTCACAAACTCAGTGGATTATACAGTCCTCTTATGAGGCCCATTGCTGTAAGATTAGCTTCAAATTGGTCGTATTACTGTATGTACTCAGGATTCAAGTGTGTGACCTCCTAAGTCCTCTCTGCATGTGTAAGAAGCAGTATGGCTGGAGGCATGAAGTCTGTGTGGTCAAAGATGGTCAGTTTTCTGTCAATGACATGAATAAAAATGTGCATGTTGCATTTTTAGTTTTTCAAGCAGACAAAATGTTTAAAATCTTAATGTATGTAGTTCAGTGTCTAAATAAAATAGGCACACACAAACAAACAGCTTGGGAAATGTTTGGTTGACAGTGCACTAAAATTACATATTTTACATTCAGTTTTCAGCAAAAGGAGAAAAAAAACTAGAATTTATTTTTAACAAATGCAAAATTACGTTAGGATATGGAATCTTACAGTACTTTTGTATTTGTTACATTTTGACCATTTTTCTCTTTTTGTTGAAAACCAAATGTTAAATGTTCATTTAAAAAAAAAAATTGTACCAAAATTTAGCTTGAAATATTGCCAATTTCCGTTCCAAATAATTTTGTAGAATTATTTTTCTTGCAATTGTGATGTTCTCATAATTTGAGTCTATATATTAATTATATAAAATTATATTATACATTTCTGATTTTATATTTCACAATGTGACTCTAGCTCATATTTGCAGCTTTGTTCCTCGTAACTTTATTTCTCACAATATGACGAGATATTAAGAAAATCTCTCACAATGTGACTTTCTTATTTTAAACACTCTCATTGTTTAAAAAAAACACAAACATTTAGGGCACAATCTACTATATTAATATGAAAGAATTTTTCCTTATTTATTTTTTACATGTGTACCTGTTTACCTGTATTTTGAACTTTGCACTTCATATATAGTGTTGTGTTTTAGGGTTAATGGAAATGTCCATAAAATTACTGGAAAATGTCCTGGAAGAAAATGACCAGTACATTTTCCTTTTTTGCACAGATTGTAAAAATAGTAAAACAGTGAGAGGTTGTTTAATGCAACTTCTCATCTAATGCATGAAAAAGGAAGCATCACTCATGTTCCTTTAATTTAGAAACAAAAAAGTCTTTATTTGTGTATTTGTAAGCACTTAAATATTGTTTAAAGCTTATGCAGTTAATAGTTTAAATTTAAAATTCAGCTGCCAGTCATTATTTTTCATTAATATTATATCATACACACATTAAAGTAGTTTACTGTAAAAAAAAAATACAGCAATTGTAAAAATCACTGTAATCAGAAAATACAGGAAATTAAATTAATAAAAAAATTAAATAAAAAAATACTGTAAATTAAATTACAGCAGCGCTACTGTAATAATTACAGTAACCGGCTGGCAACACTGCTGCCAGTATTTTACTGTAAAATCTACAGGTAATTTTTTACAGTGTAAGTCAGTTTAATGGAATCCTGTTCACCTTGTCTGGTTTTATTTTATATATAGATATCGCTTGTTCTTGAGTGTAAACAGTTTTGCTGTCCCGTGTGGTGATGCAGCAGTTGGCTGCATCTCTGACATTCAAGTGAAGCACCTCGTACTTTGGCAGTCTGTTGCCGTCTGCTATCTGTCTTCCAGCAGACGCCTTGAGTTACATAACTCACAACGGCGTCTCCGCTTTAGCCTTCAGAGCAAAGCAGGAGGAGGAGGAGGCAGGCCATCAGACAGTTCCAGTAGTGTGCCAGCCGTCCCAGTGCTCCAGAACAGAGGGATAAATTCACCGCTGATCTGAGGCATTCCTCACATTCCTCATAAAAGCTTGTACAAAAGCTATGCGTAAACATGCTCTTAGAAACCTCCACTCTGCCTATACATGGTAAACATGGTACAGTCCAGGTCGAGGGTCCTTGCTGTGTGGTCTTCTTTGAGGAAGAGTATAAGGCTGAAGGACTGTGGGATTGTCGGTTGGGAACTGTAAGCCTTTGTTTTACGGGTCACTTATTTGTGTGATTATTAGAGGTGCTTGCTAAGACGAGCATCGCTAGTTCTAATGCTCATACTTGGTTTAGGGGTTTAGTATGTCACTATCTAAAGTATTAAACTTCGGCATGTAACTCATCCTGAAGAGTTTGTTTACCAATGTGAATAATACCTCAAATCATGTAACTTGTTACTTTTTTGGATTATGTAAAAATTGCTTTAAAAGTCTCTTTTTTTTTTTTTTCTTATTTTGAATTAGAAATATTTAAATATGTGAATTTTTGTTTATATTATTATTATTATTATTATATAAAGTCAAATACCATTGTAAGATTACCTAGTCTCTCAGGTAGTAATTTAGTTTAAACTTTTTTAAATTACTTGTATTATTATATTTTTCATTATTATATTTTTGTTATTTTTATTTTTTAAACATGGCACCATGCTACAACAAACAGTTCCTACCTTAAACTGAATTTTCCAGCCGGGACTGTAAAATGATGCTTTTTCTCCACCTGTTTTATCATATGAACACGTTTTATCATCACTGAAGTGTGATACTTAGGGGTTTGCAAACCATACATATGAGGAATAATGATACAAAAACAATTAAGTGGTTAGAGCAAGCAGACACTGTTGACTCGCATGATTTTAGGTTTTGCCACAAGTTTTTGATTCATGACGCCCTTGATTCAGTCTAAAAGATTGGATAGTGAGGCATATTATTGAAGAGGGCACACATTTTAGCTGATTTAGATCTCCAGATGGAAATGATGTTGGGAATTTTCCTGAGAATAATGAATCTGTAGGCGGAGAGGAGAATGGAAAGTTGTTGTTGGGTGGACTTCTACAGAGAATCACTAAAGTATGGGGCTGCAAACTGTCTTGAAATTCTCATCTGCATACAGACACATCGATCTTAAAGCGTGTGAAATAATTAGCATTCATGAAACGAATATTTATAGTGTGGTCAATTGCTTTAGTTTTGCATAGTGCACCTTTTCATGCAGGCAATAATAAAGTGAAAGTGATACTGAACCATGTTTGTGTTTTTTTTTTTTTTTCTTCCTTTTTTAATTTCTTTTTTTGTTCTCTTCCTTTCTCCCATCTTTTTTATGTCCTGTTAAAGTTCCTCTGTCTGTCTCGGTCTTTATCCTTTCATTGCATTAAATAATATCCTTTCAGTGTTTAGGATCTGTTGAGACCAGTTTTGTTTCGTTTTTTGTTTGTTTTTGTTTTGCTTTGTTTTTAGACTTTCTTTTGAAAAAAAAATTTTTTAACAATAACTGGACAAAAAAAAAAAAGATCAAAAGAACACCCTAGTTACCAGTTTATTTTTATATAATTTTTATGTTATTGTCATTTTTTAAATAACGTTTATTTATTTATTAATTTTTGCAGAATAAAGTAGCAATCTTGAAAAAAAAAAAAAACTTAAGCTGAAACCGTAGCAACCAGTGTTTAGTAAACACTGACATTATATTTTTATATTCATATTTTGAAGGTTTTTATATTTATTAAATATTTTCATTTTAGTTAGTTTAAATAGTTTAGTTATGTGTTTGACTTTTTTTTTTTTTTTTTTTTAGTTTTTTGACAGTTTTTGTTGCTTTTTTTTCTGTTGTCTGTATTTTGATTATTTTTTATTTCAGTTTGAGTTTATTTTAGGACATCAAGTTACTAATATAACTAAAACTAATACTGAAATAAAAATGACAAAAATACAGACATTTAAAGCAACAAAAATGAATAGAAATGTCAAACATTAATTTTAGCACATCGAGTTCAGCTAAACGAAAATGAGAAATGTTGCCTTTGCAACTAGTTTTTTAAAAATATTTTATTTTAGTTAATGCTTATTTTATTTCATGTATCAATTTTTTTTAATGGTTTTAGTTTTAGTTAACCATTAAAACTTTAGATCCAAAATGCCCTAGCAACCACATAGCAACTCAATTGTTTTTTTTTTTTTAGAAAATGTAGAGTTTCACATTGGGTTCGTAAGGTGTTTTCATGTGTATGTGTGTGTGATTTAATGTTGTAGATGAGAAGCCCGCTCAGGATGAGGAGTGTGTGGTTTGCCAGCATCCAGACTGCAGCCAGCGCCGTCACGCCTCAAAGGTAAGAGCCGCACACCAGACACTCGTGTGAACACAGGGCCCGGTCCTTTCTGAAGACTGCTGGGAGATCTCGGCTTCTCTGTGGAGGGTCGATCTCGTGCTTTAAAGGATCAGAGAAAGAGCTGCTGGGATACGAGGTCTCCTCTCTGGCCACCAGACTGTGAAATGAATTCGCTGTCATAAGCTGATGCTCTCTGAAACAGGAGAATGATCAGAGGAGAGCAGCCAACACAAGTCAACTCTCAGGAAGTCCATGCTTTGCTAACTTAGGGTCTGCTTTGGGAATGAGGTAGACGGCTGATATTGTGTTCTGGGGCATGTTATGTAGCAGGTTGAGTTGTAATGGTGACAAGAAACTACTTGTGCATATTCATTTTATTTGTTAGGTACTCTTAATAATTTGATCATACTTTGATAATACAGTTAGCTAAAAGATTGCAATATTTATTGGGTGAAAAAAACAGTAAAAACCGTAATATTTTGAAATATTTAAATTTATATTTGTATAGTTTATAAGTAATTTATGTTTATAATTGATATTTATACAGTTTATAAATAACTGTTTTCTACTTAAAATATTCTGTATTTTAAAATTTATTAATTTTATATTAATTCTGTAAATATATTTTATATATATATATATTATAAATAATATAATTCTGTAAATATATATGAAAAAATATATGCATATATACTACTGAAAAATAAAAAAGGTAATTAAAAAATACATTACAATGCAAAAACTAGCGTTGTCAGTGGAGTGAGTGTCGTTTTGGTTGGTTTGGTCAGTATGTGTATGTATGTATGTATACGTGTGTGTATTTATATGAAAAAAAGTGCGTAATGTTTAAAATAATGTTTATAAACCAATTATTAAGTTGCTTAAACAACTATAAACAAAACAGCATCATGTATGTATGCATAGAGATGCAGTGGGATGGGGAAAAAACCCGCCATAAAGTCTCGAGATATGTTTTTTCAAAGTTGAACTTGCATTAATTTTACA